GTGGTAGGCAAGCTTCTCAACTGGTGCAAACTGGTCTAGGTCCTTTAGAGAGCACTGGACTGTAGCGTTTTGTAGCAGTTTTTTATCTTGCATCTACTAAAGCTTCTCCCTCATGGCTCATCACTTTCTGTTGCCTGATCTGTGGTTAGGAATAAGTCTGTACTTGTAATACCAATGTGTTACCCTGAAAATGGCAATAATGTTATAATCAATATTGTGGTCCGTTCCTGCAACCCATGCTCATCTCCATGATATCAGGAGGGGACATGTAGGAGGGAATGTGACTACCAATTCTTAAATCAAAGGCCTTTGGAAACGTAGCATCTGAGTCCTTGAACAGCTTGTGGAACACGTGGGTCTTCAAATGGCTATGTTCATATAAAGGCATGTATGTAACAAGAACTGATTCTTTCACACAGCACCCCTTGGACATTGTACAGAAGCTATTTCTAGTAGCTCTCAAATGAGAATTAAAATGAATGAAACTCTACAGGGGATCTTCACTTAGAGAATGTCATCACCCAGCAAAAATGCTGTTTGAAATTGAGTGGGTGCCCTAAAGCTGCAGATGCAGAAACCATTGAATGGTTTGCAGTATGAAGGGGCATCGCAAACAGTCTAAGCCCTCAAGATCTTAAGTCTGGCCAGATAAAGTACCCTCTTGCTTTTTTCTCAACCAGCCCATGAAGAAATCTGCACAACCAATGATGGTGTCATGTACCGTGTTGGGGACCAGTGGGATAAACAACATGACATGGGCCATATGATGAGATGTACTTGTGTAGGAAATGGCCGTGGAGAATGGACTTGCATTGCCTATTCCCAGCTCAGAGGTACTGATTTTCATGTTGATATCACCACTTTAGTCTAAGTGTTTTTGGGAGTGGGATAAATTGGTCTTCCTTTCTATCACTGTGAGTTTGAGCCCAGGCTCAAGAGCTGTGTATTATCAAGCTTTTCTTTGGAGTAGAAAGGGAATCAGAGGGACTATGTGAAGTTCCTGTCTTGTTTACATGCTGGAAGAGTACTATTTCAGCCTTTGCAGGATAGAAAGCAGGGGCAGATCTTGATGAGCTTCATCAGGAGGTATCCCTACCTCCTTTTGTCTACATTTAGGATCAGTGCCACTGTGACTTTACAGTGAGCTCAGCAGAGGCACGTCACCCTCTCAAGAACAAACAAAACTCCAGACTAGTCTGAAATTTGAATGTAGAGCCATCCTGTTTTATTGTTCTTCAGTGAAATTTTCAATTCCTCTGTGCTGGATTAGCCCTTTGCTGGCTAATCTATATGAAAAATTGGCAGGACAGCACTGAGATTACTCTTATTTATTTACTTATTTATATGAGTAGTCCAAGTGGAGAAGTGCTTAAGCAATACCAAAAAAAGAAGACTTAAAAGCACAGACATTCGATCATCCTACAGCTAGCTCACAGCATTGGCTTCATGTCTGGAAAAGGCAGGGGGGTTGCTGTCAAGCAGCCAAGAAAGGACTCTTAACACCACTGTTGAAATGGGATATAATTTATAGGGAAAGGCTCACTCAAGGGCTTTAGGAGGGGTTTTTTTATGCATTTACTTCAGAACAGTGAGAAATGCGCTACTAAAAGTTCTGGTCTGTGAAACTTCTTTTTCCACATGCACAGCTAGTTCTCTGCAGTTTCATTCTGGAGTTAAAGCGGTCTTTCTTGGTGAGGGGGAGTAGAGATACTTTGCTTTTTCAAAAGGTTATCTAGAGTAGAGCTGTTTAAACATAGCAGCCAAAGAAGGTCCTCAGTAGCCATAGAAGGGTCTGAGCACTGCTTGGTTTATCCTGATGCCATGCCTGTAGTGTGGGAAAGTATGATGGGGAATGAAGGCCTGGGATTAACTGAGTCACTTCCCCGAGGACAGATGGTCTGTGATTGACTCCGGAACTGAACTTGGGTCTCTTGGGTCCCAGTTAAAAAAACAACATGCTTCTGGGGTGGTTTTCTTGTTTGTTTTGTCTTTCTGTTCCTCGCTGCAATTAGACTGGTGTTAGGAATTCTGGGCCAGATCAGATTGACACATCTCCATTAAACCTAATAGACTGATACCATTTTACTTAAGCATGGGGTCTGGTTACTGTGTTTTGAGGGAATAGTAGGTACCAGTAGCATCTTGGATGTGTAATAGATCTGGCCCTGTCTTCAGATTACTACAAAGTGTAGCAGGGAGATACCCAGCAGAACAACATCATGAGGATGTTTGTACCTTTTCATGGTATCTTTATGAATTTGGATTAGCTCTTTTCTCCTTGTGTGGTTCTAATGATTTCAGGCAGTATTCATCGAGGTATTCCAGTCTAGATCTTCCTAAGAGGAGGTAGTGAGAGAGTTAGTGTGCTATTTTAGATTTTCTTACACATGTGGAATATGTCACAAGGAAAAAACAGGCAGTTCTGTAGTCTGAGCTATGCATAGTACTTTGGACTCCTACAGACCTCTTTTCTGCAAGTGTTACTTATTTACACGCTGCTGATAAATGAACTGGGGAGCCGGAGGTATGTGTGCAGCACTAGTCTGTGATGATCACAGGTATCAGGAGGGCTCCCTTTCGCATGAATGGAGCTTGTCATGGTCAGTCTCTGTAAGCTGATCAAGAGGAGGGAACAATGTGCCAAGCAGAAGGATTTTTGTCTTAACACTTAGAGCTATTACCGAGAAAAGTGTCTCTGCTCTTTCTCAAACAGACCAGTGCATTGTGGATGGTATCACCTATGATGTGAACCAGACCTTCCACAAGCGTCACGATGAGGGGCACATGCTGAACTGCACATGCTTTGGCCAGGGCCGGGGGAGATGGAAATGCGATCCTGTTGGTAAGTCACCAGCTGTTCCCACTTGCTAAACACAGACTGTGGTTATGTAGGAACTGGTTACGGTATGGTGAAACTGGTGTGTGAATTTGGACCCAGTCTTTGCCCACTTTCTGCCCTGAATTGCACAACTGCAAAAGTAGAAGCTGGAGAATAAGTGAAAGGGGATTCCTAGTTTTAAGGAGATAAGCTTGGGTTATCAGACATGCCACAGAAGAAGTTGATGATGATGATGCAGTAGTAATGGATCGTGGCAACATACCTCTTCAGATGTAGCAGGCTGTGGTAATGGGGCACATTAGCCCCAGGCTGGGGTAATTTGGCTGAATTCTGGTACCTGAGCTGTCAGCCTAGCAGGCTACCTCTCAGACTGAATGCTGATAATATGCAGCTAAGTACTGATGGTAGGATCAGTTTTCTTTACTTTCTCTATCCTAAAATCTTTAGGTCTCCTCATTGAACAGAGAAGGGAGCACCAGCATATATTAACTTACCTTGGACTAAATTGATTTTTTTGGCTGCCCTTTGTTTTGGCAAAGAGGAGAAAGCTCAGGATGAGAACACGTGTTAATAGCACTCTGGGGGTTAGCTAAAACCATCATGGTTCTCTGCAGGAATGAGGAGTTTTCTTCTCTTCTGCCTCCCCCCCTTCCCTAGTGAACCTTGATTGGAAGATAAGACCTGGCTGTTTGGTTTGCAATTACTAAATCCAAGAGAACTTTGAACTATTGCCAAGAAAATCTGTTAGAAAGTATTAGTGGTTAAGTTCTGCTTTATTTACAGTAGTATCTGTACAGGTTTACTGGAGGAACCTGGATTGTAAAGCTCCTGAAAATTACAACTTTGAAAGAAGGTTTTGTTTATTTTTTTAATTAAAAAAAAAATAAGCAAGCATAATGCTTGTTCTCACTGAAAATTTCCATTGAGCCAGAAACACACATAGACTAGAAAGTGTACTGAAGCACTGGCACTGTGTTGTATTTACACTAGCTAAGCTGTTTTCAGGATTTGATCTGTCCTTCTTTGGTTTATACAATGGTAAATCTGCAAAGACTCTGCTGAAAATTAATGGATCACTTCAGACTTATAAAATGTAACTGAATTCTGCTGAAGTCAGTCGGAATTTTGCCATCGATTTCCTTGAGAGCAGCATGGTTTAGTTTTGGATGAGAGATGAACTTAGTTGGCTGGAGCAGAATTGGGCTCCACAATAGATAATTCAATATAAATCCTTTCTTGAAGGAACACCCCATTGACTTTAGTGGGAAGCTTGCCAGATGGACGGCCTGTACTTAACAATATTTTAAGAAATGCATCACAGCTGAATTAGCCCCCTAGTATCTAACTTAACACATGCAGTGATATATCAAGAACCTTGATCTGAGATTCAGTTTCTGTTGCCACTTTTTCTTTATGTAACTATGTTTGCAAATAAACTTTGGTGTTACATTTCTTTGTGTAAAAGTCTCTTGTGACTTACTCTTCTCTGTTCGGCATAGATTTTTCACTATAGTTTCAGTAACATGCAGTGGTTAACTGTCTCTTTTGTGCCTTTAGATCAGTGCCAGGATTCAGAAACCCGTACCTTTTACCAAATCGGAGATTCATGGGAGAAATACGTCCATGGTGTCAGATACCAGTGCTATTGCTATGGTCGTGGTATTGGAGAATGGCATTGCCAGCCTCTGCAGACCTATCCTGGTAAGAAACGCAACAGATAACTAACTCATCTGCTGATATGGAAAGCAGTCTTTCCAGTCCTCACCTGTTCAGATTTCTGTACCTTATTCCTTTTTGTTTCCTCTTTAAACAGATCCATTCCCCCAACACTGCCTTGGCAGACACAAATAGATGCCATGATTATAAAGAGGGGGCCAGGCTGTTAACAGCTGTTCCTGAGGCCAGGGTTCGTTTAGAGAATGACTATCAGTTCACACAACTTGGGTTTACATTGCCTCTTGGTATTTAGCAATATCACACCTGCAACCTTCAGTTTCTATTGCTTAAAACTCACATGTGTAGTCTTGTCTTTTCTACTCACTACAGAAGCAAAATCCACCACAGAATGAAGCATTTTTCCTGATTGGTGCCCTGAAGAAATTAAATATTTGAACGTCCATTTGCCCAGTCAGTTCCAGGAAATCTTTATAGGGACAGGCAATGCCTGTTTGTTGGCTTGCTCTGTTTCAGTTCCCTGAACAGAACATGATAAGGGGAACCTCTCTACTTCCCTGTTCAAAGTTGCAACTGCCAGTGTCTTAATCTGAATAAGATGAAACAGTAAGGCTGTGTTTTGGCTTCTGTGTTGGGAGGAGAAGACTATGCTCATGTCATTCGTTCCCCAACTCATCTCTGAGCATAAATGTGGAGGAACTGTGTAAGGATTGGATGTAGCAGCTTCAATGCTGAGTTGATTCTCTGCTTTGATATCAAGATAGGTTAAGAAGAGTCTGTCCACTCACTAGCTGCAATGTACCGTAAGTGCCCTGCAAGGTAAGAAAAGGAATGTGAGACTCGTTCAGAAAGAGAGTTTTAATATGGGTGCCCCTGCTGTAGAAGGGAACTAGCCCCTTTGAAGTCTGTTGCAACTTCATGCTTTATGTAAATAAGGTGAGTACCCCTTCTCTGCGACTTGCTTCACACATGTTGTATAGAAGGTCTTTGTGACAGCACTCTGTTGAACCAGACCTATACTGAGCAGTGTTGTCAGTGCATTTCTATCCATGGCCATACAGCTAGTGAGCTAGCGACAAGGCAAAATGACGTGTGGCAGACAGAACTATAGACTTGCCTTTCTCTGGAGCAGTGAACTCGGAGGGCAAGAATAGGAAGCAGGCCTTCTTTGGACTCTTTTTCCTGAGTTTCTTACTGGGGCTTGCTGAGCCTCAGTGACTCCTGTCAGACTGCTTAAACAAACATCTCCCTGAGCTATGTGAAATATGCATGCCTCCAGACTGGATACCAGGGCTTTGGGCTTCTTTAGACACAAGAGTGACTGAAAATGTGTAAATAAACCAAATCTAATGTTTCTGAATGTAGGTTTGGGGTTAGGTGAGCTTTGAAATTTTCTGCATGTGGGCACAGGTTTATTTACCTGGAAGTTCCGTTAAATATGGAGCAGATATTTGTCAGACAGTTGTCCAAATAAATTATAATTAGAAATGTTGGGAGTAGGGGGAGGGTGAAGGTATTAAACAGCTAAAATGAGACACTTTCCTGCAGATTCCAGGGTGCTCTTTGCTGGGATTTTTGGAGAACTAACATGAGGACAGTTCTGCTGAGAGTTCAGTGAAACCTCCTCAGCAAGGCTGGGAAGGACTGAAAGGAAAACCATGGGATCATAGAACCTTTCCTTCTCTATTAGAGAGCTTTGTGGAGAAAATACACCTGAGCCTGATCTAGCTAAATGCAATCGGTAGTCTTAAGCATTAGAACACTGCTGGACTTGTATTTTCATGGTTTATGGGCCTGATTTGTGTCAAGACTTCCACCAACCTGTCTGGTGTGGTTTGGGTGCAGAAAACATGCCTCACTGCCTGTGGAGTGCTCCACAGTAATGAAAATTCAGTGTTTCAAATCAACTGATGAAGAAATTTAGTATAGTAGTAAAAGATTACAGTTTCTCTTTGCAGGTTGTATTCAATGTCAGATCAGAAATTTGCCCTCACCATGCCACAAGATCAGACCTGGATTGGGCAGACATTTCTCATCTGTTTCCCTGCTCCCAGTGCAGAAGATATTAACTGATGAAAGTAGTTAATTGCTGGAAAGCTCCCTCTCTTTGAACAATATGACTTTGCTTTGCAGACTTTTTCTATACTAGACCACTCTGGTTTTCTATTTCATTGATAACTCACAGGGAATTAACCCAAACAGCACATGTTAACTCCTACCCCCACCCAAATATATCCTAATTCATCACTTTCTAAGGAGTGATGAAGCATTAAGGATAGAAGGACAATATCACTTATTTCCCAGGTATAGAAATAGTATGTGAGCATGCAACTTTCTTCCTTTTTGATGACTCCACAACAAAGGCAGAAGAAAAGCATCCCCAGGATGTTAAAAATGTCTATTATTCTTTTTTCAGGGTCAACTGGACCTGTTCAGGTGATCATCACAGAGAGTACAAATCAGCCAAACTCACACCCCATCCAGTGGAATGCTCCTGAACGATCTCACATCACCAAGTACATCTTGCGCTGGAGACCGGTGAGTGCCACCTTCATCATCATTCATTCATCAAAAATACTTTATTTGGCTTTTTCTGGTGTCTGAAAGAGGTGGCTGACACAATTTCAGCAAACTTTAGTTGCTAATTCAGTGTCCTTGTCCTGTTGAGGTCAACAGTTACTCTGAGGATCAAAGACAACCAGTGCTATATAAACACTTTAAGTTTTTCTGTCCTAACTTTACTGGTCACTGTGTTCATGAAGTATTTTATTAACCAAAGCATTAGCACAGTAAGCAGAGAAGTCTCACTTTAAGTAAGGTAAATCCTTGCGGAAGCTTCTTTATCCTAAGAAACATTGTTTTAATAGCATGTACATACCCAGAGATAATTGGGATAGATTTTATCCTATTAATGAGGAGGTAAAAGTGAGTAGGATATGAAGATATAAACAGCTAGCATAGGATTAAGTAAACAGTCATCTCCCATCTTCTGTAAAGTCTAAACCAAAGCTGGTTAACCACTGCTTATTGGCTCACTCATATTTGAGGAATGATTCACTTTAACCAATGTAGATGAGTTGTGTTACAGTTCCCCTGAGGACAGCTTCACAAAAGACCACTTAATGATTAAGAACATTAGTACCTCAATGCCTCCTGTTATTAAAAGAACAATAAAGGCCCTGATCCAAAGCCATTAAAGGCACTAAAGTCTTTTTACTGACTTCAGTGTATCTTGGATCAAGGCCTGAATGAAATGGACTTTAAAGCATTGGCATACAAACCTCAGAGGATGGAGCATTATTTTAGAGCTTCCCATAGAGTTCAAATGCAGGGTAGAAGGGAAGAACTTTTCTGTATATCGTTTTCAGATGATGGCTTAGAGTGTTATTGTGAACAGCTTTCAAATATGCATTTTCCAGCCATTCCTTCATGCCTTAATGCATTTTTGGTAAAGGAATGAGTTTAATGTATATGTTGCAAATAATGTTCCTTTTAAAGGAAAAAGTTCAAAGCTAGATTGTTTTTCAGTTTATCCCAGTAACACTTAATCACACAAAAAGTCATTAGCCCTGCTTCCTGGCATACCTTTCTCATCTCCTTTGACTTTGTCTGTGCATTAGCCACTTGAGTCACATCTGAGTTTGAACATCACCATGCTTGGTAACCATGCAGCTGGTTAGGTCACTAGATACCTCTGCTTGCAGGCTAGGAAGTCTCTCTCTATTTGAATGTCCTTGTTCTTGCAGAAAAACTCTGGAAGGCAGTGGAAGGAAGCCACCATCCCTGGCTACCAGAACTCTTATACCATCTCAGGCTTGAAGCCTGGTGTGATATATGAAGGACAGCTCATCAGTGTTCAGCGGTATGGCCACAAAGAAGTCACTCGCTTTGATTTTACCACAACAAGCACCACAGCAGTGACAAGTAAGTTGAACAGCAGGGCATCCATAAAAACCTAATCTTCACCGAAGTCTTTGTTTCATACATCCCAGTTAACTCAAAAGTAGCAATGGTTAATTAAACCTCTCTCTCTTCTCTCTTGTAGGCAACACTGTTTCAGGAGAGACAACTCTTCTTCCTCCCGTGGTTGCTACTTCAGAGTCAGTCACTGAAATCACAGCCAACAGCTTTGTTGTTTCCTGGGTTTCTGCTTCTGACACAGTTTCTGGATTCCGCGTTGAGTATGAGCTGAGCGAGGAGGGCGATGAGCCACAGTATCTTGGTAAGACAATATTTGAGTCAACTAGACCAAAGCATTGGAAACAGTATATCAGTGTTCTCTGTGACAATCAGTATAGCTAGTGCAAATGGTGAGGACCTTGCTATCCTTTAGTATGATTCAATTAGGATATGAGAGTGGTGAGACTCGCTCAGATTAAAAGCTCACTTAGTTCATTGTCCATTCTCCATCAATGGCCATAAGTTCATGTCCAAAGAAGAGTATGAGAACAAGGCAAGTATATAGCAATACCCTCTCAGAATACTGTCCCAGGATCCTGCAGAGGAAAACTCCCTGAGCTAGGGGTGGTGGATTTGTAGTAACTGTGGATGGATATATTTATTCTTTTTATCTCCATGAATTTGTCCAGTCTTTTTTTCCTTTTGAAATCATGTAAATTTACTAGCTTCCACAGCATCCTGAAGTGAGCAGCAGTGCAGATGAGAAGAGAACCAAATCTATTTTTCGAACCGGCCACCTGGCTAATTTCCTTTGCTATACCTTTGTCTTTCCATCAGAATGGACAGAGACAAATCTTTTGCAAATGCTCTCTCTTGGCTACGTGTCATCTCATGGATGTCTGTTCCAGTCCACTCTGTCAGTTGTTTTGTTTGGATAGGATCTTATTCGTCTTTGATAATGTGACAATTTAGCTAAGCCAGGGAGCTGGTTAAAGGCACTAGACTCAGACCTAGGAATTGAATCCACTTTTCTAACATCTGTTGTAGAGCCTATGTCACCACACATAATTTCATCTTAACTTCTTTTTCCTAACTTCCTGTCTTAACAATGGTAGTAGCGATACCTCACAAGGATTTGAGGTTGTAATAGCTATTAGGACATGACTTGCGATGGAAGAACAATGTGAGAAAAAGAACAGTAATCTGCTGACCTAATAATTCTCCCTGGACTGTTGCTCCCCTGAACTCATGAGCAGAAGTGGCTTACATTGGGACTGCCAGCACTGTCACCACCTTTCTTGTCTGCACAATGGCTGCCCAGACAGCTGAGCTCTGTTGTGAAGCAGCTCCTGAGCTCATCTGTCTACAGACAGGTTTACAGGCGAATTGAAAGGCAATTCCCAGTTTCCTTTGAGATGCTTGGCTTCAGTCTGGCCAGTAAGGGGCTGCTTCAACAGGGAATTTCCTACATCTGGCATGTAGGTGGACATCTGGGGGAAGGGAGGGAGGAGAGAAGTTCATCAGCCCTCATGTCATTCTTCTGCACTCATGAGTCAGTCCTTCCACATAACCTCTTCATGTGAAAATTTTTCCATAGATTTCTGTATTGAAAATACAACAGTCAGACTATGAAATGAGTACTCGGTTAGTTGAGATGGCTAAATTCCAGCAGTGTGCAGGGGCTGCAGCTCAAGTTGCCCTGCCATATCCCACATAGGCCTTGCTGTCCCAGGTTTTGCCTCCTTGCTGAGTGTGGAGTTCTGTCCCAACTCTCCACACAACTTTTCTGATGTGCACTAAAGACACAGTGCAGAACAATTGCTGTTTTATTGCAGGAAGCCTGTGATTCAGCCCAGATTAGAACAGAAGTCTCAATTATTTCATTTGGAGAGAAAGCAAGAAGATAGAATTGCTAAGGCAATTTTTTCTTTCCTGCCTTCCTTAGATCTTCCAAGCACAGCCACTTCTGTCAACATCCCTGACTTGCTTCCTGGTCGCAAGTATATTGTTAATGTCTATCAGATCTCTGAAGAAGGAGAGCAGAATCTGATCCTGTCTACTTCACAGACTACAGGTACGTGTGGGTGGGTGTTGCTGCACTTCGAAAACTGTTTGGCTTGTCTGCTCAATAAATTTTTGTTACCTCTTATCCTCACGCTTGCTGTCTTCCTCTGTTTATTCCTTTAAACAGCTCCTGATGCACCTCCTGATCACACCGTGGAAAGTGTAGATGACACATCAATTGTCATTAGCTGGAGCAGACCACAGGCTCCAATCACAGGTTTGTCTAATTGGAGTGCATCTATTTTGCTCTATGGGTAGAATCTGAAATCTAGGTAAAAAAGAAAATTAAGTATAACTCTGGGACAGAAGGCTCGTCCGTAATTGAGACCAGCTGGAAAGCACATGGGCAGTTTAGCATTTGCTTGGTTTCACTGTCTGAACCAAGCAATTCAGGAGGCTGGATGCAAAACAACTCCTTTTGGATTTGTGTTAAATAAAAACAAGCCCCATGACCTTCTCTTTGTATCTGTCATCCAGACCATCCCGTAACAAGCACAAGAATTGTATAGACCCTAAATCCACATGTCAAAACCCAGAAATATTCTAATCCAGATCAGATTATGCTTTGTAAGGCATTATGAGTGTGCGATCTGTAGATGGGATGTGAGCACAAGCAAGCCACAGGTCCCACTGTAGTTCAGGACTATTTTTATGAAGCCTCAGTGGGGAGATCAGTTTAGTTCTCATTTCTAGCATTCCTTGTGCTGGCTTACTGATTGTGGCTATGGACTATGTCTCTCTCTCTTGCTTTAGGCTACAGAATTATCTACACACCCTCCGTGGAAGGCAGCAGCACAGAGCTCAACCTGCCTGACACTGCTACCTCTGTAACGCTCAGTGACTTGATGCCAGGTGTTCAGTACAACATCAGCATCTACGCAGTGGAAGAAAATCAGGAGAGTACTCCTGTCTTCATCCAACAGGAAACCACAGGCGTCCCACGCACAGGTAACAGTCAGCATGTTCTGGATATCAGTCACTGAGTTTTCTGTCAGTACATAGAGCCAAACAACAATGCAGGCTTGTATTGCTCTAGCTAAATGAATCTTTAAATGGACTCAATTCTGTTTTTTGTCATCGTTGTGTTTTTTAATTGTAAATGTTGCTGGTATTGAAGTTCTATAGTAAAGTTGTACCCACAAATTGACACAGTCAAGCCACCACTCTGCATTAATAGGGTTGTATTTCCTAGGGATCAGACTGCAGGCAGGTCAAAAGGTTGGGCTTGCACCTCATTTCTACAGAAAAGAGAGATCAGAGTTTCTGAAGTTGTCTTAAGGGGGTTCTGCTAAGATGTCTTCTTAAGAGCCTGGTAAATCATTTTGCCTCGGTACTTGGCCTGCACATGTTTAAGGTTATGTACTCAGACACCACAACACAAATCCAAAAATCATTCACCTGACTTCTCCTGCTCCCTTCCAGTCCTAAACATTATTTTCCATTACAGTTGGTGGGGACGGGAGATTGCTCAGCATTGACTGATGTGCCAAAATACCACCACATGATCGAAACTTGAGGCACCCACAATTAAAAAAACTACTGGTTTCAGGGTTCTTTAAGTATCCAATTGGGCTGAATAGCCAAACCAAAAGAAAGGAGAGTGAAAGAGTTGGGATCTGATGTGGTAGCAGTGGAATTTGATGGTCCTGCAAGTTGCAAGCACGTGTTTGCAAATGGGAATTTACCAGGAATAAACTCAGCTCAATGATTTTATGGTTTGGCATCTGTATCTTCCAAAAATGTGCATTGGTTAACCTTAGAGCAGTATCAGTCCTATTCTGAAGAAACTTAATTTGAACGTAGGAATTCAAGGGTGCAGTACTTTGGACCAACACAGAGGAAACTGGATTTTGTCTTTGACTACAGTAAGGCCAGATCAGCCCCTGTACTTGTTTAATTATAAAAGATAGATTCTAAGGTAATTATAGACATTCAGAACATGCCATGGGTTTTGAAAACCCTCTCTTTTAATTTTAAAAGGAGGATCCTGTTTCCAACCCCTGGAGTATGGGGGTTTTTTTCCCCCAAAGCTTTTGGTTATGCATATACTTGAAGTTCTGTAGCACATTAAATCTGGTCTTTCAGTTTTTTTCTGTGACAGCAAGATACCTTCTATGACTGAAGGCATAAAATACTTAAAACTATGTAGTTATGTTTTGAATTGTAGTCTGCTTGAATATTGTCAGGGAATATGTGTATAAGGTAAAGTTACCATGACATTTTTAATTTGGTAAATATTCTTGGGCTATCCACTTTTCCATCAAAATTCACTTTTTTTCTTCCATAACTATAAAAAACCCTATGGCTTCTCCTGCTAAGACTGCTCCCTCTAACACTGTTCTGTCACTCTGCTTTCAGATGAAGTTCCTTCACCTAAAGATCTGCAGTTTGTGGAGGTTTCTGATATCAAGATCACCATCATGTGGACGCCACCGCAGAGCCAAGTGTCTGGCTATCGAGTGGAAGTGATCCCTGTCAATCGCCCTGGCCAACACGGTCAGAGACTGCCCATCACCAGGAGCTCTTTTGCTGAAGTTGTTGACCTGCTCCCAGGAACAACCTATCTCTTTAAGATCTTTGCTGTGAGCCACGGCAGGGAGAGCAAACCTTTGACTGGAGAGCAAACCACCAGTAAGCGTCTTTCCTTCATGCTTTTTTCAACCTTTTGAAGTGCATATTTCTCTGTCGCCTAGAGAAATATATAAACAGAACACTTAAAGTGCAACAGTTACAGCCCAGGAGGTATCCCATAACTAGGATGACAGGGCTGGGAATTCATTCACTCAAACAATGATCTCTTCAGCAGATTTATACTCCTCCAGGGCTTTCCAATGGGAGTTTAACTCTCATGGCACTTTAAAACAATTTTGTATGGCTGGAATTCAACTTTTTTATTACTGACTGAGAATTGATGGGCCCTGCAGTTCTTTTACAGCACAGATCACAGCCTGTGATGATTTTTTTTTTTTTTTTTTTTTTAGGATTCCTTAGGGCAGATTTCAGCATGACTTAGGAGCCTTACTGAGATCGTTCTGAAAAATCCCTATCTCCTTTCTGACAGCTGTGTACCTATTTGGCTCCACTGTCAGCAGTAGGAGTTCTGCATGCACATGTAAGGACAGGCCTTGTCATTAAAAGGACTGCATTTCAGCTTTGCCAGGTCAGGCCTGGCTTTCCACAGGCTGTCTCACCACCCCAGAAATTCCCCTGTCATCCCAGTGGAAACTGGTTTGCAGCGACGTCAATGGACTGTTGACAAGAACCATGGGGAGCATATATTTTTCAGGAAGGGTCGTGCAGGATCTCTCAGAACGCAATTGCTAATGATCAAGTGGCAGTGCAACACATCACCAGTGTAAGGCAAGATGACAAGCGAAGTACACAGTCTGTCAGGCATTGTGTTTTGCTTTGCAGAAGTGCAGAGAAGAGAGGAGCTGGGCAAGATGTAGGCTTTGAGATGGAAGAGGAGGAGTTTAGCATGGGTTTGAGTAGTTATCTCCATTTTTGATCCAAGAGAAGCAGATCAGACAGAACCTGGGATGTGGTTAATATGAACAGAACCCGTTTATTGGGCAATAGAAGGGTGACTTCGTGTTTGTGGTTTTCTTTGACTGAGTCACATTATTCAAAGGACCAAAATTCACCTATGCACATCTGCTGCTGTTCTGGTACTTTTCAGTAAATGAAAGCAACTTTTGAGAACCCAGCCCAACTCATAAAGATGAGAGGGAAGAAAAGGAAGTGGGATAATCTGTGAATATAGCCATGCTGTTTGAGAAACACTATTTACTTGCATCCATATGTTAGGAGCCATGAATAGTGCCTCTCCCTCTTACCATCTCCCTTGACTATGCAGGGAGAATGGGATCCTTCTGTTTGTCCTTTGAGTCCTTCGACATAGGTATCTGATTTGAGTGTAACATAGATGGTGTGAACACCTTCCCTCCTCTTTCAAGTGAGGCTTTCAAAAGCAAGGATGCGACTTAGGAATCTGATGAACTCTCTTGGAAGCGTTTAGAACAAGAAGAGCTCAGTTCCCAGTTAGATCTGTAAGTTTTTGTGGTTGTTTTCTGGATCCTTGGCTAGGTGTAGAGCTCCTCTGAAAGTCCACACACAGAGGTGTACATCAGAGCATAGACATTTGATTCAGACAGCACAGAGCCAGTTACAAATGTCTGGAATCATTTTCCATAGGCTATGATCATCCGCTTAACAGCTTTGCCTAAACCACATTTCAGAAAGTATTCACATAAATTGCATCCTGTAATCGAAAGTCCTGGGAAAAAGAAATCATTCAGAGTTCCCAAGGAAAACCCTGCAGCAGAAGTCTCTTCCCACGGTGTAAATGTGATTCTCTTTTTGGCCTTCCGTTAAAAAGCAGTCTACAAATAAACTCTGAGTGTGTGTGTGGCTTTTTAATCTTCCTCTTTTGCCTTTAGTATGGGGAGAGGAAGTGATAAAAGTCTAATAGAGCTGGCAAATTAAATTATGCAGAAAGGAACTGACTGTAGGCTACAAATGGAAGGAAGATACAATCCTTGTCTGATGAGACTTAGCACAACTCTAAGTACCAAGAAAAGATAAAGCTGACTCTCAGCCCATGGGTAAGAGATGGGCCTAAGAAGGGTCACACTCATCCTTTGTCTTTTAGAACTACCCCATATTTGCAAGTGGTGGAAGAAGGAAGTCCTCGCTTCCTTTTCCCTCCCTCCTCAAAAAGGGAGAAAACAACTGGGGAGAAAACAAAAGGGACGAAAACTGCTTCCCACTGAATCACTGGGAGAGTGATGAAAACGTTAATTCTTATCACAAAAATGTTCTTTACTCAGGGGGAGGAAAAAGCATTTGCCATCAAAACAGAGCATTGATGGAACCTCTCCTCACTTCTCTTAATGTCAACATATGACTGAGACCTAGAAAAGGGGGGGAAACTTGCCATGTAGATGCTATAAACTCTTCGCTGCAGCCAGTGCTACTCTGCCTACTGTGGGAGCAAATTGCTTAAGTGTCTCCCTTTCTGATCCTCACCTTGTCTCAGCCAAATGTAGTGCCATCTCCACCATTCACTGGACTCCGGTGAAGTGCTGAAGAACCTGTGTTGTTCAGCCTCTTATTTATGTAGTTTTCTGGGTTATCAGTTTCAGCAGCTTCACAGGGGCAGTGATAAAAAGGGGAGGAAGCCTGATAAGAGCTGTTGCATGAGTCCCATGGGAGAGGTGAGCATGCTTAGAATTGTTGTATAGTCAGTTCCACTGTGTGATTATTTTTAAGTAGATGTAGCAACTGGTTTTCTGCAGTAAGTCACTGACTCTTATTTATTTTTACATTAAAATGACAAAGTGGGGGTGTTTTGTTTTGGGAAGAGATTTTGAGAGGGCAGGAAGTAGGACTGGGCAAAGATTTAAAAGAATAAATCTTTTTAATGAAAAAGGGCTAAAGTTAGGTTTCCGTGCTTATGCTGACAAGTCTAAACTGAGCTGATTTTTAAAAAATGCTCAGCATTCATGAGAAACTATTGAAATTCCTGAGTGCAGTTGGGTTCATCTGTCTCGCCCCAGCCATTAGCCTGACTTCCCCATGGGATGGGCACGTATGGCAGCGACCCAAATCGGCGCAGCCCTGCCTGGCCCAGCATATTACCGGATGGCACTGAGGCATGGATATAGTTATTTCAGTTCTACTTCCAGCTCTTTCTTGGTCCTCACCTTCTCTCTTCCCTACTGTTGCACTCAGGCCGTAAGCGAGAAATACAAGCTAAACCACCTCATTGAACACCTATGTTTTTTGCATGGTAATGGACGTGTTTTGGAAGTAGGGGTGAAGTAGAGAATCAGCTCAAACTGATGCATGTTATGCTTTTTCCCCAGAGCTCGATGCCCCCACCAAACTGAGATTTCTCAATACCACGGAGCATTCAGTGTTAGTGTTGTGGACGCGGCCCCGTGCTGTGATCACAGGATACCGGCTGACTGCAGGTCCCACAAGAGGAGGTCAGCCAAGGACCTACAATGTGGGACCTTCTGCCACCAAGTACCTTCTCAGGAACTTGCAGCCTGGTACGGAGTATACCGTGTACCTTGTGGCAGTTAAGGATGACTTGCAAAGTGCCAGAGAGACTGGAGTCTTCACAACTTGTAAGTATAATAGGCACATATTCCTTTTCCCTAATGCCCTGGCCTTTCTTCAAAACTTGTGCTGAAAGTGGCTATTGTGAACTGGTTTACAGAAGAAGCCTTTTGAAGTGCCATTCCAGCAGAACTGGTTGGGAAATATTCCTTGTTCTTCTTTCTGAACTATTTGGCAGGAAAAAGAGTTATTTGCATCAAAAAACTTTTAGTAAAACATATTTCAGCTTTTTGGTGATTAAAAAAAAAAGGGAACACTTACAACTGGTACCTCAGTTTTTGTTTAACTGAACGAAAAAAATTTAATTTTACTTGATCTTTCCAGTTGTTTGGTTTTGGCATGACAAATCAATGAAAGCAAACAGCTCCCTTAAAATGGGCAACAAATAATTAGTTTGTCATTTGTATAAAGCTGAAGGCAGTCACTTCTCAAGCCCAACCATACCATCTAAGGCAGCTCAACTGCAGTTGCAGAAACTGACACAAACATTACATTCTACCCTTTTATTTTTTTTTTAAATGTCAGTCATCTGTACTTGTGCTGCTGGCTTGGAAGAAACATTAAGCAAGTTTTGGGAGGAAAGGGAGTTCTGTAAAAACCCACACATACTTCTAGAAAGAACAAATAGATTCACTGTTTAAATAATGATGAAGCAGTCATATAAACTAACAAAACTCAAAGCCATCCAAGCCCAGAACCACATCCTCTTTTCGAAAGAGAATGTGGTTTCTTGTAGAACAATGTGAAATTAAAATAAGGGTTCAAACTTTTAATCAGAGTAACACTGTTGACCTTGGCAAGGTGCTTTTTGCTGATGGACAGCGTTATCTATAAATATTTCTCAGTTAGGCTATTACTGGATATCTTAGATGAATATTGCCTTCAAATTCTGGCTTATCTGAATGAAACCAGTCCAGTTTAAGACTATAGATTAATAAACCAAGCCTCTTCATTAATAACAAGGTCAATTCAGATTAAACTCAGTGGAGTTATTTGGACTGATTCTGGGGCACGCAAAGGCTTTGGCTTCTGTGTGATGCTTCTGACAGATATCAATGAGACCACAGATTCCTCAGATTGACTTTGAGCTTTCTTTAACTCTGCTGACTTCAAAAGAGTTGAAGACGTTGGTGAGGGATGAGATGGTCCTAGCTGGGACAGCTGGATGACAGACAAGGGTGTAGTGTTCTGCTGACTGAATGGCATATGGTGGGTAATGGAAAAAAAGCTGGTTTTTGAGGAACACTTTAGGCATCATGCCAAAAACAATATTCCCCAAATTCTTGGGGCTGGATGCATAGAGAACTTACAAGGCCCAGTTCAATATTTTCGTTTTCCTCAGAAACAACAAAAACACTGGCTGTGATTAGACCACTTGCACACTGTGTCTATCAAACCCAGCAGCAGACAGAAGTCATCTGTCAGATCCCTCTCAAATCACTGGATTTTCAAAAGTAATGTAGTTCAGCACTTATTACATACCTCTAGCTATTTGGACTGCTAAAGGTCAGGTTTTCTACCTGTTTGGTGCCAGCTGTAGCAGCTAGATTTCAACTCTGTCAATTCACTTCACAGATCAGCCTGCTGGCTCTGTTCCTCCTTTTAACACAGAAGTGACTGAGACTTCTATTGTCATCACCTGGACACCTGCCCCAAGGATTGGTTTCAAGGTAGGAGAAACTGCGTTTCTTTTTCCTCTTGCTCAGTTGTGATAGGAGGACAGATTAAAGCTGGTTATATGGACTGCAGTGAAAATAGCACAAAGGAAAGGGATGCAAAAGGCATGCTGCTTACAGAGGACAGGTCTAGGTCACAGAGGTCAGTGCAAGCATGTCCTCTGGGCTCCAGGTCAGGCTCATCAGTGGGACATCTAAAACACAAGTTACAGGTTTAACATTTGATGTGAAGCATACAGGCCCACGATACTCATGTCGGGTGATAACTCTGGGTGCTGATAGTTACCTGGGATAGGAGTATTTGAAACTGAAAAGCAAACTTTGCTGCTTCTCTACAGCTGGGTGTGCGCCCAAGCCAAGGTGGAGAGGCTCCCCGGGAGGTCATCTCTGATTCTGGCAGCATCGTGATATCTGGCCTGACTCCTGGAGTGGAGTACACCTACAGCCTCACAGTCCTGATGGACGGCCAGGAGAGAGAGACTCCGATCATCAGGAGAGTGACTACACGTACGTTGCTTTTCCACAATTATCCTTCTTCCACTTGCTTCCCCTGTGCTTGCCAGATGAATGGCTGTCTTCTGTGAGCCAGTTCTAGTCTTTTCCTCCTGTCGTGGTCTGGAGGGTGTCTTGTCTTTTTGATGCATAGCTGACAGTAGCACAAGCTCATGCAATGCAGGGTCACAACTTCAGGAGAATATTTTTTTTAGCTAATTCTGAAGGCTGAGGATACAATCGGAGGAGGAGGGATGCCGAGGGAGCTAGCATAATTCTCAGTGCCATAAATGACCTATTTGTCTGAACGCTTGCAGCATTGTCTCCACCAACCAACCTGCGCCTGGAGCCCAATCCTGATACTGGGATCCTGGTAGTCTCTTGGGATAGAAGCACAACTCCAGGTAACTATGTGAACTCACACTATGCTCGAACCTCCTGTTGTATCAGAATGCTAATGTTTGTTCTGTGGTGCCTTGCAGTTTATTTAGGAGACCTTGATAGGAAGCTTTGCTGTTGATTCCTTTAAGGAAAAATGTACTTATTTCTGGATATATTCAAGGATATAATTCATAGTTAAGTATAGGTTGCCATAGGGCTCTTCATGATTTACATTCCATGTAAAATGCTATTTTGGAGCATGAATGTGTTTAAATATTTCAGCTGCTTTAGGGATTTGAAGGATTTCTTCAAATATCCCCAGTGGTTTTAAAAAAAAAAAAAATCCAAGGGAAGGAAAGCAAAGTGGACCAAAAAGATTTCTATCAATGAAGAATGAGTTCATGTCATTGAGTGAGCATGGAAGTTCTGAAAGTATTCAAGATATCCCAACAACAGCTGATGGGAGCTGTACAATTGTCTTCCGTAAAACAAGGATTGAAAGCTATTAAAAACCTCATTCTCAGTCAGTAGATTTATCTTGATGTGTCATGAGATTTTCAGTTTGGTAAGGTCTCAAAGGGAACTGAAATTGTGCTGTGAGAGGGGCATTGCTACCTCCTGGGAAGCTCATTTTAGGGTGCTGACAAAGCAACCTCTCTCCTGCTGGGCTCAGGGTGGCAAAATCACTTGTAAAATGTAACGTGTTTGCATCAGTTTGTAGTGAGACCTGATGTAAATCAACACAGCATGAGATTCCTGCATACTGGTATATCTGTATTTCAGGCATCAGTGGGTACCGAGTGACCACTGCTCCTACCAGTGGGCAGCAGGGCTCTACCTTGGAAGAAGTAGTAGGTGCAGATCAGACCACCTGCACCTTTGAAAACCTGAACCCTGGTGTGGAGTACAATGTCAGCGTTTACTCAGTCAAGGACGACCAGGAGAGTATCCCCATCTCTGAAACCATCACACAAGGTAATGAAAGGATGAACAGCAGTTTTAGCTACTCAAAGTCAAATTGCTGAGCCCGAGAGCTCTACATTGCAGAACTCCTATTAGTCTGATGGCAGAGGGCTTAGACTTTATATTTGGTCTCAAGAAGCAGAATAGCCATATAGCAATGTGTGACAGAAAAGTTTTTATGCCCATGTACTTCTCTGCATGGGCAGCCTATGTTGTCTGTCAACAGGGTGGTGGTAAAGAGATGAATCTGTTCTATCAGTACGCTGAGCTGGAGAGCAACAGATTTAACTTGGCCCTGCAGTGCCCCAGCATCGAGCACAGCTAGTGGGAATGGGAAGTTAGGTGAAGAGAGGTATAATGGAAAGTGAGCACAGGAGAAGTTTTGGCAGCAACAGTGGCAGAAGATGACTTCAGCACAATGGAGAGGAAAGCCAAGATTGAAAGGTCTGTCACTGTAGCACTTCTGGGACACAAAGTGGTGTGTGCCACCTCACATTACATGCTGCAATGACTGCAGAAACTACCTTTGTAGCCACAGTAGCAAAATGAATACGCATCTCCCCAAATGGTTTCATTTCATTTTCCTTTGTGAGGGCTTTGTTTGTTTGTTTTTGTTTCTGCTCAGCCCTGAAATGATGCCAGCTACTGTGTTTGCTTGCTCTTATAACACTGCTTTAAAATTTCTACGCTTCACTGAAGTGCTGTATGCTCCCTGGGGATGAACTAATACTGTGATACTGCATAATTAAAGCAGTAATAGCTTTATCCCTTTACCATCTTCTGGTGGGGGAAAGCTAAGAATGTATGTCTCTGGCTTTCAGCACTCTTTAAAGGTGATATGGCACATGCATTTCATGTGGATAAACAATGATTTTACAGAAAATGCATTTTTTTGCATCTATTCTGTAAAATAAGACTTCTCCTAGAAAGACCATTAAAATAGAACATAACCACTATTATTTAAGCCAGTCTTTTGCAATATTACTGTCCCATAATTCCTTTTCAAGCTAACTTGTAATGATCCAACAGAATGGGTATCGAGTCCTGCATCTTTGACTCACCTACTGGTGTCTGATCCTGAGTGAGGAAGAGCATCCATTAGCTCCCACTGATTTCAGGATCACGCTGCTAAAGTTACACAGCCAAATCTTGTGGCTTAAATCAATACCAATCTATTGACTTGAGCCACTGAGGGTTTGGCCACTGTCGATTAAAGATGCATCTAACATTCCCCACTCCCTGCCCAATTCTGTTGGTCCTAACATGCAGGAAAAGAACATATTTGCTCATAGGAGTAATATCGATGTGGAAAACAGTCACAGCTGTGCTTGTTTGCCATACAGAAATTTAGGCAATATCTAGACGGTCATTAAAGAGGATCCTTATTCAGTGGCTCAGTTCTGAGATTCTGAACAATTTAGCCAACAAATCAAGTCAGCCTCTTGGCCACATCATGTGCTGGGCATAACCTCTGAATATGGGGATGTTGTCACTCTTACAGAATTCTTATCATCTAAAGGTCACTTTAAACCATTTGCCATCTTTCCAAGAAAGTGTTTTATTACTCACTGTTCCGATTCATCTGTTTTTAGCACATATATTGCAGCAGTTAGTGGTAAGTAGAACTTGAGAAATTCTGGTCCAGATCCTCAAGCCATTACAGAGATTTGAGACCTTTCTTCCAAGTCCAGTGTAAATAGTTCAGATAGTGGATGATTGACCCTGAAGCTTTGTGATGGTTCTCACCAGCTGAGCGTGTAGGCCAATTTAGCCCCTTTAAATGACTTGATATTTTTGTGACCCCAATGATAAAAGTTAGACTTACCATTTGAACAAGACAAAAATTCTAGAGGGTCAACCAACTATTATTTCAGAGGAGTTGTTTTATTTATACATTAATAGACTTTGATATCTTCTTTTCTACCTGAAAAAAAAAAAACCAAAACCTGGGTATGTTTTTTCATCAGAAAATGATATGTCTTTATGGCTCATCATTGCTCAAAGTAAATTTGTTGCAAGTTAGATGTCTCTTGTAAGTCTTTTTGAAAATTGTCTAAATATGTCTAAAGTGGAAGTGCATTGTCTCAGGGGATTGGGGCTTCAGCTTCTGACTGCCCAGGGAGGCAACTGGAGACTGCTTTGAAGGGTACGATATAAAAAGAAAAAAACAAACCACCACGACCAAAAAAAAACCCCAAAACAAAAAACAAAACCACCAAAACCCCTCCTTTTTGCCCAAACCCCAAGAGAAATTCTGCATATCACCGCAATTGCTTCTAAAGTTCTGTCAATGTTAATAGTGATGAACACTGCTTTTTTCTCCCTTGTCTTTCTTTTGCCTCTGTGTGTCTTTTGCCTTTCCTGTTTGCTCTTTAACTCATTAGAGGTGCCCCAACTCACTGACCTAAGCTTTGTTGATATAACTGATTCAAGCATCGGCCTGAGGTGGACCCCGTTAAATGCCTCCACCATTATTGGCTACCGCATCACAGTAGTTGCAGCAGGAGAAAGTGTCCCTATTTTTGAAGATTTTGTGGACTCCTCAGTAGGATACTACACAGTCACAGGCTTGGAGCCGGGCATTGATTACGACATCAGTGTAATCACACTCATTAATGGCGGAGAGAGCGCCCCTACCACTCTGACACAGCAAACGGGTGAATTTTGAAAACTTCTGTGTTTTGTGACATGGACGGTGTTTCATGCTGTCACTGGCTGTCGGGATGATGGGGCCTTGTCCAAAGAGGAACCGAGCTGCTCACTGGGGGGAAAGCCAACAAACCCAGCTTGCTCCTTTTTCTAAATGGTCGGTGGGGATGGATATGTGCTGCTCAGTTTTCTAATTTGAGGCATTTTAATACTGTGTATGACTGCAGACTTGCCAGGCACATTCACCTTCTGCTATTCAGATTTCCGGGATCCAGTTTGAATCAAGAGCCTTGAAATACGAGCTATATATTCACCAGACTTCTAAAATGTGATTCACCAAAATAAGAGTGCCAAAGGGTAGAGCGGTT